ACAGTCATCAAGTTCACAGAAGTAATGAAAAAAAAATGTATTTTTGAGGTAAATAAGAGCAACAATGATTCTTAGTCTAAATATTATTCTTTTGAGAATATATTTTTATGAATACTATTCTTTTGAGCAGATACAGATTTGAAATATATTTTGAATATATAATCATAGAATGGTTACAGTTGGAAGGGACCTTGAAGATCATCTAGTTCCAACCCCCCTGCCATGGGCAGGGACACTTCCCACTAGATGAGGTTGCTCAAAGCCCTGTCCAGCCTGGCCTTGAACCCTTCCATGGATGGGGCAACCTGATCCAGTGTCTCACCACCCTCGTAATGAAACATTTCTTCCTAACATCTATTCTAAATCTACCCTCTCACAATTTCAAGCTATTACCCCTCATCCTATCACTACATGCCCTAGTAAAAAGTCTCCCTCCAGCTTTCTTGTAGGCCCCCTTTAGATACTGGAAAGATGCTATAAGGTCTCCCCTGAGTCTTCTCTTCTCCAGGCTGAACAACCCCAACTCTCTCAGCCTGTCTTCATAGGAGAGGTGCTCCAGCCCTCTGGTCATCTTCGTGTCTCTCCTCTGGACTCACTCCAACAGGTCCACGTCCTTCTTATGTTGAGGACTCCAGAGCTGGACACAATATTCCAGGTGGGGTTTCACCAGAATGGAGTCGTGGGGCAGAATCACCTCCCTCAACCTGCTGGCCATGCTTCTTCTGATGCAGCCCAGGATATGGTTGGCTTTCCGGGCTGCAAGTGCACATTGCCAGCTCATGTTGAGCTTCTCATCCACCAACACCTCCAAGTCCTTCTCCTCAGGGCTACTCTTAATCCATTTTCCACCGAGCCTGTATTTGTGCATGGGATTGGCCAGCCCACTTGCAGGATCTTGCACTTGGCCTTGTTGAACTTCATGAGGTTTGCACAGGCCCACCTCTCCAGCCTGTCCAGGTCCCTCTGGATGGCATCCCTCCCCTCCAGCATGTTGACCACTCCACACAGCTTGGTATCGTTGGCAAACTTGCTGAGGGTGCACTCCATCCCAACATCCACGTCACCAACAAAGATGTTAAACAGTACCGGCCCCAGTACCTACCCCTGAGGAACACCACTTGTCATTGCTCGCCACTTGGACATGGATCCTTTGACCGCAATTCTTTGAGTGCGATCGATGATTTCCCTTAAACATTTACCAACATTGCCTTTGATAAAATGCCACATCAATACTGGTAGTACTACCTAAAACTCCTTACAGTTACCATAGGGCATACAAACAATTCTTAAAAATTGACATAAAACTTCTTACTCATTTAAAACAATGATCAGATTTAAAGCCTTATTAGAAGTTTTGTGATAACAGTAGCACAATGAACACGTTTCACTAGATAACAGTGACTTTAAATGAGGACAAGGATTGCTTAAAAACTGTAATGCGCACTGTACAAAAAAGAGAAGTTTAAAACCTATGGTTATTTCAAACCCAAAATGTAGAAAGTTTTAGAGTCTGCCCTGATTACCACTTAAAAAAACTACCCCAAAACCAAACACACACAAAAGAAAACCAACAACAAGAAACCACTAAAAAACCCACAGCAAACCCAAATACCCCACCTAATACATTAAAAGCATATAGATACTCTTGTCTCAAAGATGTTTTTAATGTGGTGATAACACATTAGGGTGAGAATTTGTTGACTGAACTGCATTTGCAATGTAATAACCTAAAATGCAGATTGCAGTGTCCTAAAGTTTTAGCTGGTACTGCAGATTTACTGAATTCTTCAAATAGTGTTTTTTAAAAGCTTGAGATAAGAGATAGAGATAGACCCAAAGAGATAGCCATGCTTCACACTGTCAGATGCACTGCTCTCTCAAACTGCATAAGTCACCACTGTATCTGTTCCAACAGTATATTAATTACTCATAAAAAAGCAGCAAAACTCTCAGAGGAAAAGGAACCCTCAGAGAAAGAAAATGTGCTATATAATTGTAGTGTAAACCGGCTGTTGACTTTTACTCACTCTAACTTGGGGGAAAGTTAACTGACAAAAAGAGGCCTAGTTAAAAAAATAATCTTTCAAAACATACAGTTTGATAAAACCCAAGATACTGCTCTTCATTGCTTCATTTTCCTACCAATGTGATCTAATACATGCACAGAGTGGATAAATCATAAATGTTTGAAATGATTAAAATAAGAGAAAAATAACACCGGCTATTCATTCTGCACTGCCAGTAACTCTAACCCTGTTCATCTTCAACTGCTGCATACAGGAATATTCTTCACAAAAATGAAGAAAATTGGCCAGATAACTGCTTCATCCCACAATTCACAACTTAATCAAACCTGGTGGCAACGACAAGGACAAAATAAAGAAATATTGTCCAAGCATTACTGTCAAAAGCAATTATAAGTCTATTACGAAACAAATTCCAGTCATGTATAATTTCTTTCTCCCTCACCAACATATTTGATGCTTTACTGCTGCGTAATAAGACAGTCAATGTCTTAAAGAGTTTATGCTCAGAGCTTTGAGAAAGGCAGGGAAAGACCAGTAAACAGCATCATTTCATTGGTGACTTTAAAAGGTGCCGCAGCCAGAATTGTTAAAATCCAATACAATGGAATAACATGGACAATTTGGAAATTTCCTTTAGACAGGAAAGAGAAAGACATTGAGCATAATTTTCATTTCCCAGGTTTTGGGAAACAGAGGACCATTTCAATAGTCATGTGCTAGAATTAGATTTAACTAGCATGAGATTTGTTTACAGATGTAAATGAATATACAGATGTTTACATCTGTTTACAAATGTAAACCCTCAGCAAGTTTGCTGATGACACAAAACTGGGAGGAGTGGCTGACACACCAAAAGGTCGTGCCACTATTCAGCAAGATCTGGACAGGCTGAAGAGCTGGGCAGAGAGAAACCTAACAAAGTTTAACAAGGGCAACTGTAGGGTCCTGCAGCTGGGGAGGAATAAGCCCATGCACCACTACAGGTTAGGGGCTGACCTGCTGGGAAGTAGCTCTGCATAGAGAGACCTGGGAGTCCTGGTGGACAACATGTTGACCATGAGCCAGCAATGTGCCCTTGTGGCAAAGAAGGCCAATGGCATCCTTGGGTGCATTAAAAAAAGTGCAGCCAGCAGGTCTAGGGAGGTCATCCTCCCCCTCTACTCTGCCCTGGTGAGGCCACATCTGGTGTACTGTGCTCAGTTCTGGGCTCCCCAGTTCAAGAAGGACAGGGAACTACTGGAGAGTCCAGCAGAGGACTACAAAATGATCAAAGGAATGGAGTACCTCTCTTACAAGGAAAGGCTGAGACGCCTGGGTCTGTTTAGCCTGGAGAAGAGAAGACTGAGAGGGGATCTTATCTATGTTTATCTAAAGAGCAGGTGTCAAGAGGATGGGGACAGATTCTTTTCCATAGTGCCTGGCAACAGGACAAGGGGCAACGGGCACAAGCTGGAAGAGAGGAAATTGTGTCTCAACATGAGGAAAACTGTACTTTGACGGTGGCACAGCACTGGAACAGGCTGCCCAGAGGCGCTGTGGAGTCTCCTTCTCTGGAGATACTCAAAACCCGCCTGGATGTGATCCTGTTCAACCTGCTCTAGCTGAACCTTCTTTGGCAAGGGGGTTGGACTAGATGATCTCTGAAGGTCCCTTCCAACACCTACCATTCTGTGATTCTGTGATGTGTTTTACCTAGAATTTTTTTCTAGGAATGCTTCCAACCATGTTCTTCCTGTGATTTTTAATCGAGGTTAAAAAACCCTAGAACTTCAGAACACTTCAAGAAACTATAAATTTATATAAGAAACCCTTTTTGAGATGTGTTCCTTTCGTTCTAGTTTCTTTTAATGTCAAGTTGAAAATTATGTGTCCTAGACAAACAGCCTTTTTCCCTCCATGAAAAATTTATTTCAAATTTATGATACTGATCTTAAATAGACAACTCAAAAATGCAACCACACAAATACAGAGAAGCAATCAAAACATTTATAGTGCTTTATCCACACAAACTTCTCATAGAATTGTTTGTGACTTAAACTTCCCAAAGTCTGCTACTTTCTGCTGGTTTTGTTGGTTTTTTTTTTTAAAGTCCAGCTTATGCCTTACCTCTTTATTTACTTTTCACTCACTCTTGGTTAGCCAAAATACCATTACTGCTCCTCTTGGGGCAAGATTCATTACCTGCTACAGGGTCAAGGAAATGACAAAAGCAAATGCAAGACGACAATTTGATGTTCATTGCTCTGTGTTGATGAGACACAGGACTACTTTTAACAGCAGTGCTGAGAAAAATGGGTTCCTCTAGAAGAAAGCATTATCCCAGAGTCATTTAATTCACAGAAGAGAATAGAAGTATTTTACAGAATGTTAGGATATGTCTATATCAAAGAAAAGAGTGCACAATGAAAGATAGGAATTCATATATATATATTTGCGAGTCATATGCATTACTTCAGAAGACCAAGGGCAGTATTTTAATAAGTAAAATGTGGAAACGTTAACTAGAATAGGCTCTTAGTAATCACTGCTGAACATGAAGTGGGACTTCAAGCACAACTCATGATTCTTATACTATGGCCAAACGGGGACTGGAAGTAAAAAGAACATTATATTCTTACCTATGAAGGAGGAGAGTGTAAACAACATAGCTCTCACACATCCCCTTGAGCTCAGAGATATTTCAGACCTAAAGGTATTAACTTCTATATCATCATTCAACACTACAAAACTAAAGATTTAGGTTTTGCAAAAGTACAGGTTTTGAATAGGGGGAAATAGTAATTCAGAAGAAATAGGTAGCCTAAAAATACTTTTCAGAGTATCCCAAACTGCCAATCACCCCCCCAAGCACTGCTGAACACTCAGTTAGCAGACGAACTCGCTGGAAGCTAAAACAGCTGAGGGAAAAATCTATACTCAACACTGCTTTCCTGCCTTCAGCATCACAACATAAACAACTGAAATCAAGTTTACCTTTCTTGAAGCGTAGATGTCAAAAAATGGTTTGTTTCGAACACTGAATGGTTCCTGTGCTTTGTCGATAAGACCATTTTTCATCTTTTCATGTCGTGGAAATATAATCTCTTTCTCTATACATGCAAGTCGAACATTAAAATCACAGTCTCCAACAGGCTGGCCCTGCCAAGTTACAAAAATCAGAATTAAAATCAAACACCAAATTACTTGAACAGTCTGATTTTTCCTTACACAATATTTAGAATCATACAGATACATAAAAATATTACCAAATTACCACATGTTTTTGCCCAATACTTGGTTTTCAAGCATTTGTCTCAGGCTGCAAGAGGTTTAATCAAATCAAAGTTCATAGAAAGATAAAAACCTATAATATGTATTCAAGCATATGTGAGTTAAATACCTAAACACCTTTGAAGTTAAGCAAAATAATTTAAATATTCCCTAATTATAGCTTTGGATATAGCAGCTACATACTTTTCCACGTAGCTTTCCTCAGAAGTCATTTAGCTCATTTTGTTCATAATACTTTTAATGACAATGCAACAATCAGATTTACACAGTTAAACAAACTCATTGTTAATAATTTTCAGACCCAAAGTGTCAACAACTGTTTGGGATGTTGCATTTCATAGAATCATAGAATGATTAGAGTTGGAAAGGACCTTAAAGATCATCTAGTTCCAACCGGCCTGCCATGGGCAGGGACACCTCCCACTAGACCACGTTGATCAAAGCCACGTCCAGCCTGGCCTTGAACACCCCCAGGGATGGGGCCTCAACAACCTCTCTGGGCAACCTGTTCCAGTGCCTTACTACCCTTAAAGTGAAAAACTTCCTCTCAATGTTTAATCTAAACCTGCCCTCTTCCAGTTTTAAGCCATTCCCCCTCGTCCTATCGCTACATGCCCTAGTAAAAAGTCCTTCCCCAGCTCTCCTGTAGACCCCGTTTAAGTACTGGAAGGCTGCAATAAGATCTCCCCGGAGCCTTCTCTTCTCCAGGCTGAACAGCCCCAACTCTCTCAGCATCTCCTCACAGGAGAGGTGCTCCAGCCCTCGGTTCATCCTTATGGCTCTCCTCTGGATGCACTCCAGCAGGTCCATGTCCTTCTTATGTTGGGGACTCCAGAGCTGCATGCAGTACTCCAGGTGGGGTCTCACGAGAGTGGAGTAGAGGGGCAGAATCACCTCCCTTGACCTGCTGGCCACACTTCTTTTGATGCAGCCCAGGATGGGGTTGGCCTTCTGGGCTGCTATATTGCACACCGCTGGTTCATGTTGAGCTTCTGGTCAATCAGTACGCCCAGGTCCTTCTCCTCAGGGCTGCTCTCCAGCCATTCCCCACCAAGCCTGTATTTGTGCTTGGGATTGCCCCGACCCAGATGTAGGACCTTGCACTTGGCCTTGTTGAACTGCATGAGGTTGGCTTGGGCCCATCTCTCCAGCC